TAACATCGATTTAAAGTCAACAAAATTGCTAGTAGGAAAAAAAAAAAAAAAACTAGTGAAGAACTTTGAAAAGAAAGATAAAAGAGAAATTCCAAATGGAGGAGATAACGTATATAAAGATTGAGGTTAAGATTATCCATAAAAAGCTTCCATTTTTCACAGCCATGGTGGTTGTTCTCACTCACATCTCCACTTCCTCCCACCAAATCTCCCCTTCCTTCTTCCATCTCCGCCTTGGCACTTCCTCCCCTTCTCGCCCCAAACTCGCCGGAGGAGGAAGAGGATCCTTCGGAGGTTTCTCCTTGTCAATCCGAGCTTACATAGAGAAACCCAATTCCATCTCCAGCTTCGCTAACAAAGTCATCGGCTCGCTTCCTGTAATCGGACTCCTCGCAAGGATTCTCAGCGATGAAGGCGGCGTCGGAAGAGATCTCGTCGATTTCGCTGAGTTTAGGAAACGAATTGGGAATAAATGTACCCCTCAGGATTCTAGGGCTTTCTTCGAGTTTCAACAGAGAAGAGGAAAGGTAATAAGAATCGATATTAGCTCCCAAATCAAAGGAAATTCTGATGATTTGTGATTGAATTGTTGTGTGGCATTAAGTTTCATTGTCTTTTGTTTGTTTGGTGTTTTATGAGTGATGAGTGGAATTGTTGGTTTGTTTTGGTAGGCAGGGGAACCTTTGTATGTGCTTTTGTGTTGTTGGGTTGCTGCAGTAGGTGCAGGGCTTCTGAAATCTGAAGAGATTCTTGAAGGTGTTACTAGGGTTAGCATTTCGAATGATCTCGAGTTCGAAGAACAAAACTTTATTGCTTTGATGACCGAAGCAAGACAGGTTAGTTTTGTTTCCTTAGAACTATGCTATTGATATTGGTTTGCAATCTTCTGTCTGCATCGCCCAGAACAAATTGGTTTTTTTTCATTTAAGATTTGAATCCTTAGAGCAAAGATAGTTCTATGCTAATGAGTTTTAGAAATCAAAATCGGCTATTTGGTCCACTGATAAGTCACTCATGCAGTCATGTCCATTGGCACATCTCTTAAGAGTCTTATGTATTTTTGCTTCAGAAAGGTTGAGAAGTTTTCGGTAATGCAGAGAAGGGCAAAGTGTTTCTATCCGTGATTTAGATTCCCGTAGAGTGATGCGATTGATATTGATTTGCATTCTTCTGTCTGCATCACTTGAACCAATTGGTTTTCCTCATTTAAGTGTTGAATCTTTGGAGCAAACATAGATATATGCTAATCAACTGAAAGTTACTCATGTCCAATAGCACATCTCTGCAGAGTTTTATGTGATTTTGCTTTAGAAAAGGTTGATAACTTTTGGGTAATGCAGAGAAGGGCAAAGTTGAATGTTGCAGCGCCAACAATCCCGATGGAAATAAGAGTCGAAAAGGCTCTTGAAGGTATTTATGCTTGTTGCTTCAGGAGGGGAGTTATCGAAGAAGAAGATGAGCAGCTTCTTCAAGTGATGCTAACCGCGGTTTTCCCATCGGTTGAGAAATCTGAGATAGAGAGAATCATCCGAGAGAAGGCGACGAGGGTCGCGGAAGGAGGAGAAGAAGAGAATCTCATGTCCGAGAAACGGCTGCCTAAAGAAGCTATTCAAATGCAAATGAAAGATCTTGAGTTCCTTCAACAACAAAAAATAGAATCTTAACAATGGCTCTAAACATGTATTTTTCAGTTGGGATCAAGTGAAAATGCAAGAACATAAATTGTATCCATAGATTTTGCATGATAATATTTGATTCAAGAAAGTCCTTAATGATTGCTTAGAGTTTTAAGTTTTTGTATGTAGGTAAAACCAAAGAAGATAGATTTGTACTCTAGAGAGCTTATTGACACAAAGACATTGACAAAGAAATAGCTCAATGAGCTTTATTCAAA